CCAACTCCTGGGCTCAAGCGAGTCTCCTGCCTCAGCCTCCCAAGTAGCTGGGACCACAGGCGCCCGCCACAACGCCCGGCTACTTTTTGGTTGCAGCCGTCATTGATGTTTGGCGGGTCCGGGCTGGGGATTCGAACCCGCCACCTTAGGTGTACGTGGCTGGCGCCCTAGCCGGTTGAGCCACAGGCGCCAAGCCTATAGGGCCATTTCTATCAACAGCTTTCAGTTTCTTGAGCAGAAGGGCCATGCCTTATTCCCCTCTGTATTATTTAATAAAGGGGCACAACCTTGAAATGGTATGAAACAGTATTAGAGCCACACTGGGAAAACTGGCAGCCTCTGAAACAGGGTCCTACTAACAGTTTTATGGTCAAAGCCCACATTAGCTTTGGTATCAGCCAATGGGGAAGGCAGTGTGGCATGCTGGGAAAAAATGTGGGCTCTGGAGTGAGATGGACCTGGGTGTGAGTCTCAGCTTCACCAATGACTACAACTAAATAAATGAGATGGAAAAAATCATGACCTTTTTGAACTTCGGTTTCCTCCCCATAAAATGAGTGTCCTGGGAGCGATGACCAGAAAGTCCCTTATGAGAGTGAAATGCATCGTGTCCAGGAAAGTGCTCTGTTAACTTTAAGATGCTATCTGGTTTGTGAGAGGCAGTGGGGATGCATGACAGAGGACTTCCTGGAAGACGAATGCCCATTTTCCTTTACCCGGGGTCAGAATACAGGATGTCACTCCTTAGTGGATTATGCCTCAATGTAGCAGGTTGCAAGCAGCCTTTTTTAAAAGTTAAAATTGAGGAGAATCTAATAAAAAATAACAGTGCATCGTCACATATAGTAAGGGTATCTATTGTTCCAAGAACCTTTGGTTTCCATTATAAGTAGTATTTATATCTTTATATATATATATATACTGGATTGTAACGTAAAATGTAATCTTTACTATGAGTCGAGATCCTAAGTTTGTTTAACTCTGATCTAACTCATGCCACATCAGTGTGAAAAAGAAAAGTAGTGTGATGCACAGTGGACACTTAAGGGTGCACGTAGATCTGTGCACCGCAGCTGTAGGTTAAGTCAGAGGGGGCTTCAGGAGAGGAGATGCAGGCAACTGTCTGGTACAGTAAGACTCCAGCAAAGGTCCCTGGTCATGCCTGCTGGCTTTCTCCACCTAAGGCTCCCATGACCCCTCCTGCTGCAGTGGGGAGAACCTATATTTCCCTCTGTGGGAAGCTGGGATAGGCTTTTAGCCAGGCCCTGGGTAGTGGATGGTTACCTAATTTCATCAGAGCCCAACAGTTCTCAGTCTCATTTTCCTCACTGGTATGAGAGGTAGCTTGGGTGCTTTCTCCAGCCCCTGCCAGCTCACAGATAAGCACAGTGTGTCGGAAAAGGGCAAGAGGCCCATTTCCCCGTGGGGTAACTCTCAAGCAATGGCGGATGAGAATTGGTGGAAAACTAGCCCAGGTTCCTGTCGTTTAAAGGTTAATTCTGCAGTGGATTTGATGAGGATCTTCAGAGGGCCCCCAGCGGACTGAGCAGTGCCAGCCTTCATGGGCTCTGCTCCATGTGTCTCGCTCTCCCCACTTGCTCACTCCCTCCCGCTTCCTGGGATTGCCATCCAAACGGTCGGTCCCCCCCCATCCTCTTCTCAAGCTCTGCTTTCCAGGGAACCCTAACAAAGCACCTGGCTTTGTCATTTACTTGCTGAGTGATCTTACACAAACAGTTTACCTCTCCGGACCTTGATCTCCCTGTTTATAAGAAGGAAGAAGAATAAAAGCAATAGGCACTGTATGCTGGGCACTGTGCTGAGTGTTACATTGCAGTGTTTCATGAACCTCAGAGCTCTTTTTTTTTTGAGACAGAGTCTCAAGCTGTCACCCTGGATAGAGTGCTGTGGCGTCATAGCTCACAGCAACCTCTAACTCTTTGGGCTCAAGTGATCTTCTTGCCTCAGTTTTTCTATTTTTAGTAGAGATGGGGCCTCTCTCTTTTTTTGCTCAGGCTGGTCTTGAACTTGTGAGCTTAAGCTATCTGCTCACTACTCCCAGAGTGCTAGGATTACAGGCGTGAGCCACCACGCTTGGCTCCTCAGAGCTCATTATTCTCCATTTTACAGAGGAAAAAATCTGATGATGTGAAAGGTGAATTCACAGTTAGTGAAAGGTGATGCTTGAGGTCAGACCTACGTTGTTTATCTAGGGCTTGAACTCTTAAGCAGTGATGCTGGTGACCTCACTGCAATGCTTTGAAGATTTAATGCACTCAATGGGGATAATGCCTGTGAAGGCTCTTATGTGACCTGGAAAGTGCTATGTAAATGCTGAGTGGAATTATTAACACTAAGTTCAGCGTTTTACTGAAAACACAGAGGTTGTGCCTATCTTGTCTGGCTTTGAATCCCTAGAGCTTAGCACAGCTCAACACATTTTTGCTGAGTGTCAGAATTCCATGCCGAGCTCTAGGGAATGTGACCCTGTAGCAGTTTTCAAGAGCGTACTCCTCGTGAGGTTTCAACATTGGTTCCTGGGAGCCCCGCTGACATCTTTCTAAGTGAAAGCTACAATGACATATTTTCCCAAGTTAGAGACCCATCACCACCATGGACCCCTCACTGGCAAGTTCCTATGGTCTCAGGGTCAGGATTTGGGCTACACCCCAGTTGGGAGACCCAGGTCTGCTCCCCCACCTGCAGTCCCCTACCTGGCTGCAGCTGCTCGAAGTCCATCAACATCCTGTAGGCCGTACAGGGATTGACACTCAGGGTGGCAGCACACTGAAGAGGGATGTCACTTGGAACCCTCATCAGTTCTTCCTCGCTGAACACAGCCTCGGTCTGCCAGGTTCCTGAGTCAGAGGATGAGGCCGGGATCATGAGAAAGGACCCTTTTGTACCCCAACCCCTCCTCAGTGGATGGGCACTGAAGACAGCAGACTCTGAGTAATGCTTAGAGAAAAAAAAAAAAAACCCTGGAAGTCCCTTTCTATGTGTTTTTCTCATGATAATTACACAAGCTAGGCTATTACTCCCATTTAAACAGTGTGGTAAGGGTAGATCAGAAGAGGCTGTATCTCTGAGTTACCATTAGATTTAGCTAAGGTCACTGTGCATGTTACTCATATTACTGCACTCTGGAGGCAAAATACTGCAGTAACACCACCACCAGGGCAGGAGTGGTGAGAAGGCCCCCGTTTACCTGCAAAGCCCTCATTCTTCTTATCTAGGGCAGGTTGGCTTGGGTGGTATTATGGAAAAACGCATGAAAGAAGAAGATACTTTAGTATGTAAATGATGTTGTAATATGTAAATGATACGACAGTACAAATCAAATGAGATACAGAAAATGGAAAACACTCTGTAACCTGGAAAGAGATGACCATTAAAGCCCCATCCTACATGTTAGTTCCAGACAAAAGAATCACAGAATGTTAATACTGAGAAGGGCCCTGCGGAGTTTCTAGTTTGAACTCCTCATGCAGCAGGGGAGGGAAACAAAGCAGTGACTTCCCCAAAGCCACCTGGCTCCTCTGGGCAGAGCTGGAACTAGAACCTGGGTATCTGGCTGCCCCCTCACATCTGTAGTTGTCACCCTGTGCCCACTGTGGCAGGTACTTTAATGCTGACACAGTCCTTACTTTCACACTAGTGGACTAGAACAGGTGAAAAGAAAAACCAGCAGATATAGTAATTCTAAGTTATAAAGAGACAGTGATGGTGAGAGAATTATTTTAAATTTTTTATATTTTTTTGGCCAGGTGTGGTGGCTCATATCTATAATCCTAGCACTCTGGGAGGCTGAGGTCTGAGCTCATGAGTTCAAAACCACCGTGAGCCAGAGCAAGACCTCATCTCCAAAAAAAAAATAGCTGGGAGTTGTGGCAGGCACCTATAGTCCCAGCTACTTGGAAGGCTGAGGCAAGAGAATTGCTTAAGTCCAAGAGTTTGAGGTTGCTGTAAGCTATGATGCCACAGTACTCTACTGAGGGTGACAAAGTAAGACTGTCTTAAAACATTTTTTTTATTTTTTATTTTTTAGAGACAGGGTTTCACTCTGTTGTCGAGGCTAGAATACAGTGGCATGATCATAGCTCACTGATGCTTCTAATTCCTGGCCTCAAGTGATTCCCTACCTCAGCCTCCTCAAGTAGCTAGAACTACTGATATGTGCCACCAGGCACAGCTAATTTTTAAATGTTTTTTCTAGTGATGTGGGTCTTACTATGTTGTCCAGGTTAGTCTCAAACTCCTAGCTCCAGGCAATCTCCCTACCTTAGTTTCCCAAAGCACTGTGATTACAGACATGAGTCACTTTTTTTTTTTTAATTCTCATTTATTTTGTGTGGGAGAATTGGCAGAGAATTACTTTAGACACGAGTCAAGAATAGCTCCTATGGGGGGTTAACAAGCTAAGAGTGAAAGGAGAGGGATACTAACCACTCAAAGAGCACAAAGAATATCACACACATAGGAAGAAGCATATGCAAAGAGTCTGAGGGGAACAGATAGAAGAATAGGGCTGGAAGAATCCACATGGGAGGGCAGAGTGATGGGAAGAGTGGCTTGAGCTGTGGCTGTGGCTGATGGGCAGAGCCAGATGAATGTTAGACTTCCATGATGGTGACCCACAGTAACTGAGTTCCATGTCAACCACTAATCTATATGTACATGAATATACATGTATTGGAAACCTGTGTTTCACAGAACAATATTTACCCCTATGATGTGTGATATACTCTTTTATTATTCTGCTCTGCTGAATTTTAGTTTTAAAAGTACTATTTGCAAACCACCACTCTGATTTAACTAATGGCCCACAACCTATAGTCTGAAAACACAGGGCTGAAGGTCACGACATGGAGAGTGGATCTTATCTTAGTGAATGGGAAGCCTCTAACAAGCTTTAAGAGGAGCCTGGGGTGATCTGATTTAAGCTTTAAGATCACTCAGCCAGGTGCAATGGCTCATGCCTCTAATTTTAGCACTTTGGGAAGCCAAGGTGGGAGGATCACTTGAGACCAGGAGTCTGAGACCAGCCTGAGCAAGAGTAAGACCCCGTCTCTACTAAAAATAGAAAAATTAGCCAGCACCGTGGCAGGCACCTGTAGTCCCAGCTATTCAGGAAGCTGAGGCAGAAGGGGGACTTGAACCCAAGTTTGAGGTTGCTGTGATCTATGGCATGGCACTCTACCCAGGGCAACAGGGTGAGACTCTGTCTCTCTCTCAAGAAAAAGAAAATCTGGGCATGGTTGTAGGCACCTGTAGTCTCAGCTACTTGTAGGGCTAAGGCAAGACTGTAACTTGAGGCTCGGCGCCTGTGGCTCAAGCAGCTAAGGCGCCAGCCACATACACCTAAGGTGGCGGGTTTGAATCCCCAGCCCGGGCCCGCCAAACAACAATGACGGCTGCAACCAAAATTGGCCGGGCATTGTGGTGGGTGCCTATGTTTCCAGCTACTTGGGAGGCTGAGGCAGGAGACTCGCTTGAGCCCAGGAGTTGGAGATTGCTGTGAGCTGTGATGCCATAGCACTTTACCCAGGGGGATAGCTTGAGGCTCTGTCTCAAAAAAAAAAAAAAAAAAGACTGTAACTTGAGCCCAGGAGTTGGAGGCTGCAGCAAGCTATGATGATGCCACTGTACTCTAGCCAGGGCAACCGAATGAGACCCTTTCTCAAAAAGAAGAAATCACTTTTTTGCTGGGTGGTAAAGACTGTGCGGGGGAGGGGGCAGGTGGAAGTGAGAGGCCAATCAGGAGGTGTTTGCAGGGGTCCAGGTAGGAGATGATGGCTGCCTAGACCAGGACTTTGGGGGGGGGGGTGAAGAAGAGAAGACGGATATTTTTTGAAGATGGAAGCAACAGGATTTGGTGAGGACCAGGTGAGAGGGACAAGACCACACTGATACAAGCAGGATCCTGTATGAAGAAGGGGTGAAGAGTATGACCCTTGGAGTCAGATAGGCTCCAGCCACGGCTCAGCCATGTACTCACTATATCACCTTAGGGAAATTCTTTGGTGCCTTGCTGGCTCAGGGTCTAGTGGCCATATCTCAGGGCCCTTGGCCTACACTTCCAAATCCCTTCGGTGCCCACTTACCGGTCAGTTGCCAACAGTATCCTGCCACTATGTGGTCCAGCTATGGGAAGTAGGGGCAGCCTAGGCAATACTAAATGTGCTGCAGGAGAGGTGGCGGGCTTTAGGGACTAGGAACTGGGGAGGGGAGGCAGGAACATTCTTTTTTTCTTGAGACAGAGCCTCAAGCTATCCCCCTGGGTAGAGTGCCGTAGCATCATAGCTCACAGCAACCTCCAACTCCTGGGCTCAAGCGAATCTCCTGCCTCAGCTTCCCAAGTAGCTGGGACCACAGACACCCGCCACAACGCCTGGCTATTTTTTGGTTGCAACTGTCATTGTTGTTTGGTGGGCTTGGGCTGGATTTGAACCTGCCACCTTAGGTGTATGTGGCTGGCGCCTTAGCCACTTGAGCCACAGGTGCCAAGCTGGCAGGAACATTCTTTATTAAAGGCTATGCCAATTCCAGAGTAGGTATGTAGCTGAGAAAATAAGAGGCGGAGAAGTTGAAAGATTCCTCTAGAATCCAGAAGGTGCCTTGGCATTTTCTGGCCTTCCCCTACTTGGTCTCCAGATCTTCATAATCATCTCTCTCATTCCTTTTAGCTAACATTTACTATGCTCTGCACCACATACTTAGTGCAGGGCTTTCTACACATGAAGTCAAGGAGGTTTTCTAATTCCCCTTATGGCATGACAATAGAAATCCAGCCCTTGACATGGACTTCTGGGGCTTAGCAGTCCCTAATCCTCTTCTGAAAAGAGTCTGGGAGGGAGGCAGGCAGTGCTCGTGGTTATTATCATTATTATTATTTATTTATTTATTTATTTGAGACAGAGCCTCAAGCTGTTGCCCTGGGTAGAGTGCCATGGCATCACAACTCACAACCACCTCTAACTCCTGGGCTCAAGTGAGTCTCCTGCCTCCACCTCCCCAGTAGCTGGGATTACAGGCGCCCTCCACAACGCCCAACTAGTTTTTGGTTACAGCCCTCATTGTTGTTTGGCGGGCCCGGGCTGGATTCAAACCCATCAGCTCAGGTGTATGTGGCTAGCGCCTTAGCCGCTTGAGCCACGGGCGCCAAGCCTATTATTATTATTTTTTAAGAGATAAGAGTCTCAGGCTCAGTGCCCATGGCTCAAGTGGCTAAGGTGCCAGCCACATACACCTGAGCTGGCAGATTCGAATCCAGCCCGGGCCTGCCAAACAACAATGATGGCTGCAACAAAAAATAGCTGGGCCTTGTGGCGGGTGCCTGTAATCCCAGCTACTTGGGAGGCTGAGGCAGGAGAATCGCTTGAGCCCAGGAGTTGGAGGTTGCTGTGAGCTGTGATGCCACAGCACTCTACCCAGGGCAACAGCTTGAGGCTCAGTCTCAAAAAAAAAAAAGTGAGACTCTGTCTCAAAACAAATAAATAAAAGAGACAGAGTCTCATTATGTCTCCCTGGGTAGAGTGCAGTGATGTCACAGCTCACAGCAATCTCCAACTCTTGGGTTTAAGCAATTCTCTTGCCTTAGCCTCCCAAGTAGCTAGGACTACAGGCGCCTGCCACAAAATCTGGCTATTTTTTTGTTGCAGTTGTTTAGTTGGCCCAGGCCAGGTTTGAACCTGCCACACTGGGTGTATGTGGCTGGCGCCATAACCACTGTGCTACAGATGCTGATCCATGCTCGTGGTTATTGACAAGGGCTTTCAGGGTTTGAAACAGAAACCCTTAGGCTTTGGAGTTGGAGAGATCGGCTCTGCCACCCACCAGGATGTGACTATGAATTAACACTTCACCTTTTTTGTATTTTAGTTTTCCTGATCTACAAAATGCAGAGAATAACACTTATGTCATGGTGTGAAGATTAAACTAAATGACGTTTGTACAGAGACTATCACTGTGTCTAGTACATAGGAGGTGCATAAAACATGTTGCTTTCTTTTTTTTTGTTTTTTTGAGACAGTCTTTCTTTGTTGCCCTTGGTAGAGTGCTGTGGCATTACAGCTTACTGCAACCTCAAATTCTTGGGCTTAAGCAATTCTCTTGCTTCAGCCTCCCACACAGCTGGGACTACAGGCACCCACCACAAGGACCTGTTATTTTTTTTGTTGCAGTTGTCATTGTTGTTTTAACTGGCCTGGGCTGGGTTCAAACCCACCACCCTCGCTGTACATGGCTGGTGCCCTACCCACTGAGCTATGGGCGCCACCCCCTGGTGCTTTTTTGTATTGATGGTGATTTCTAGGTTCTAGCTCTGAGGACTTCCATTCCTCACTTATCTCCATCATCTAATGTGGGGGCCAGCAAACTATTGCCCTTGGGCCAAATCTAGTTCACTACCTGTTTCCTTAAATAACATTTTATTGGAGCATAGCCACGCTCACTTGTTTTCTTTATTTTTTTTCATTAAATCATAGCTGTGTACATTAATGCAATCATGGGGTACAATGTGCTGGTTTTATGTACTATTTGAAATATTTTCATCAAACTGATTAATGTAGCCTTCACCGCATTTTCTTAGTTATTGTGTTAAGACATTTATATTCTATACTTAATAAATTTAACATGTACCCTTGTAAAATGCACCATAGGTGTGGTCCCACCAATTACCTTCCCTCTATCCATCTTCCCCCCTCCCCACCCCTCCCTCTCCTCTTTCCCTTTCTTCTTGGGCTATAGTTGGGTTATGATTTTTGTATGAAAGCTACAAATTGGTTTCATTCACTTGTTTATGTATTGGCTGTGAGTGTTTACAACAGCAGAGTTGGGTAGTCACACTAAAGATGGTATAGCCTGCAAAGCCTAAAATATTTACTCTTTGGCCCTTTAAGAGAAAGGTTTCAACTGATCTAATGCATACAGAAGTTTAGCATTTGCAAAAATCACTGCATGATTGTGCTGCATAAGAGTTTGTTGATATTTGCAAGGCAGTTAACTATTTGCTCCAATTCATGGGTGAAAAAACCGAGGGATAAAAGTAGTTGTGACTTCAACAAGGTTATACAGAGGAGCTGGAAGAACCTGCATGTGACTCCCAGGCCAGAGTTCTTTCTAGTGCCCTGTGCTGCCTCAGGAAGGTGTAGAGCAGTGGTTCTCAACTTTCCTAATGCTGAGACCCTTTAATATAGTTCCTGTGGGTTGAGACCCACAGGTTGAGAACTGCTGGCGTAGAGTGTTTTCCAGTGGGAAAGTTGGTTGGCAAAGATCAATCCACACACTCTGGCCCAGTCTCTCCTGGGGCTGGCTGCATGTGGGAAAAGGTGGGCAGCTGAGTACCATGAAAAATAGCCACAATCTGGCCAGCTGAGGACTTAGGTATAAAGGACCGCCACTCTTACTAAACTGCGGTCTCTGTGAGAAAACCTCGTCTGTTCACTGCTGTATCCTAGATCCCAGCATGCTGCAGATGTTTATGAAATGCTTACTGAACAAACTGGCTTAACTGTAGTCCTCAAGTTATAAAATCCTCATCCTAACTGGCATGTTGCATAAAAGATCCACCTTTTCTCCAGGGAAAATCCCTGGCTGCCACCACCACCACCACCATACATACAATTACCTGCAAAGCTGGCACATGTCCTCTATTCCCCTCTCCAAATTCAAAGTATTAAGTCCTTTCACTTTAGTAGCTCTTGAAACCACTCCCTCTTTTCCAGGCCTAGGGTATTGTCTCATTCAGAACTTTGTTATCTGAAGCCTGAGCTGTTTGCCTATCTCCTTGCTGGCTTCCTTCCACCACTCTGCCTTTCCAGACCACTCTTTGCATTGCACAGGTCTGATCAAATCATTCCTTTACTTAAGTCTCCACTGGGCCCCCTCTGCCTGTGGATGCAGGCTTCCATATCCCAGCTCCTGCCTACCTGTGATTACAGCACTTTTAATACTGTTTTGCATTAAGTATTTTTCTATCCCCGGCCTCCCATCCTAGCTAACAGTACTCTGAGGGCAGGGACTATGTTAGATCCATCTTTCTTTTTGAGACAGAATCTCACTCTATTGGCCAGGGTAGAGAGCCATTGTGTCCTCACAGCAACTTCCAACTCCTGGGTTCAAGGATCTTGCCTTAGCCTCCTGAGTAGCTGGGATTACAAGTGTGTGCCACAGTGGTTGGTTAATTTTTCTTTTAGTAGAGATGGGGTCTATCCTTGCTCAGTCTGGCCTTGAACTCCTGAGCTCAAATGATCCTCCCTCCTCAGCCTCCTAGAGTGCTAGGATTACAGGTGTGAGCCACCATGCCCGCCGGTGCCTGACCCATCTTGGTGTGACCTTCACTCAGCACAGGGGCTGGCCCAAAGCACTGGCATCTGTAGTTAGTAAATCCTTGCAACTCTCAATCGCTCAGATGGCTGGACTCTTAACCAGGTGGGTGTAGGAGAGGGTGGAGCTATTCTTGACAGCTTTCCTGATCTCAGAGAAGCAAAAGAGCTTGTAGTAGACCCCAGTTATTGTTTTGTCTGGCTTAAGTATCTTTTTCTTTCTAGAAGGGCTCCTACCTAACCATAAGCCCCCACCCTCTATATCACAGAGGTAGGCAAGACACTAAAATCAGAGCAACTGGAGTGGCCCAACTACATCTCCCAGGTGACTGGTTCAAGGCCCACTCAGGGCCATTCTGGTGGGTGGATATGGCCCTGTTGGACATGACGATGGAGGATGTACTCAATTGTACTCATCTGAGAACATCTCAGGATGACATAAACCTCAGGCTGCTGGAGGTGTGTATCAGAGTGGATTTGAATTTTAGCTCCACCACTCACTGGATGAGTGACTCTAGGCAAGTTAATCCTTTACATTTACGGTTGTTTCATCTGCAAAATGGGAATAATAAAGTATTGACCTCACACTGTGGGAATAATTGAGTTAAAATATGTAAAGTGCTTACAATGGTAGAATGGTACATGGCACAAGGAGAGTTGCCAATAAATATCTGTTGCTATGATTGTAACATTATGTGGGGAGATCCTATCTGAGAACTAGGGAGAATAGGAGTTCTTTTTTTTTTTTTTGGAGACAGAGCCTCAAGCTGTCCCCCTGGGTAGAGTGCTGTGGCATCACAGCTCACAGCAACCTCCAACTCCTGGGCTCAAGTGAGTTTCCTGCCTCAGCCTCCCAAGTAGCTGGGACCACAGGCACCCACCACAATGCCCGGCTATTTTTTAGTGGCAGCCATTGTTGTTGTTTGGCGGGCCCGGGCTGGATTCGAATCCTCCACCTTAGGTGTATGTGGCTGGTGCCTTAGCCACTTGAGCCACAGGCGCCAACCTGAGAAAAGGAGTTCTAATTGCACTGAGATCCTGGATCAAACTGAACCTGAAGCTTTCTATCTTTTATACCTCTCAGTTCTACAAATCAATCAACTACTTTTTCTTTTTAAAAATATTTACTTATTGAGACAGGGTCTCACTCTGCTGTATGGACTAGAGTGCAATGGCATCATCATAGTTCACTGTAACCTCAAACTTTGGGCTCAAGTCACCCTCCAGCCTCAGCCTCCCAAGTAGCTGGGACTACAGGCATGCACCACCATGCCCAGGTAATTTTTTAGTTTTTTGTAGAGGTAGGGTCTTGCTCTTGCTCAGACTGGTCTAAAACTCCTGGGCTCAAGCGATCCTCCTGCCTCAGCCTCCTCAAGTGCTGGGATAATAGGCATGACCCACTGCACCTGGCCCATTATTAAGTCTGTATACTTATCTCCAGTAGGGGTGGGAGCTGAGCAAGGAGAGAAGTGTTGTGTTTCTATGCTCTGGAGGTGATGTACCTGCATTCCCATTTCCGCAGGCTCATACTGATTGGAGTGTGACTCTCTGTATCCCTACATCCCTAAACCCCTGCCATGTGGTGCAACAGAGAATACAGATCAGATAAGCCCTGCCATCCAGGAGGTTCCTATCTATAATTGAAGAAATCTCTAAACCAATAACCAATGATAGAGGGAGTGCTACAAATTCACAGGAAACAGAGGGCCCTTCTGATTTCTCTGTGTGTTCTTCTGTATGTGACAGAAAGAGAGTGTCTTGGGGAAGGATCAGAAAAGTCCCTATGGAGGAAGCTTCGCTGGGCTGGACCTCTGACGGATTAATTTTGTTAGATAGGGATAAGCCAAAAACCATTTCATGTGGAGGATGTAAAATGGGCAAAGACACAAAGGCGGGCTTGGGAAATGGTGGAAAATCCCTTGTAGTCTCAGGAGAGGATCTGCAGATGGACAAGGATTACGTGAATGAGAAAGTAAGTCAGAAAGGTAGACGGGGGCCACATGGGGTGAGGCCCTGCAAAAGCCAACCTAAGGACTAGGAGTTTCTTTGACATGTAATAAGTCATTGGTGAGTCTTGTTTTTTAGCACGTGACAGTTTTTGAGGCACGTCCATTATACACAGAGATCCTCACAGCAGCTCCAAGAGGGAAGCAGGACAGACATTACCCACATATGGATACAGGAAGAACTGAAGCTTGAGAAGTGAAGCCCTTGCCCCAGATCAAAGAGCAAAATGAGAAGTCCACTGGATTCTTATCTCCTGTGTTCCCACTCCAGTGGTAGGACCTTCTGAGTTATAAATAATTTACGGAGGCTCAACTCAAACTTGCTTAAAAAAACCCCACAAAACCCTGCATTGCTTTTCCACTGAGCCAATGAGTGGATGTCTACAGAGTAGGTGAAACGGGATCTGGAGAAATGAAAAGGCGGCTGACACCTGGAGAAACTCACCCAAACCGGCATTTGCTGGAATCACCCAGTCTCCTGCCTTCAAACTAGTTACATCGCTGCCCACGGCCACCACCTGTCCAACACCTTCGTTCCCACCAACAGCAGGCAGCTTGGGAAGGAGGCCATAATTTCCTGAGGGAGAAGAGCATAAAAGGTCAACCAATGAAGTCTGGGCAGTGAAAGAGCATGGAGTTTGGAGGCTTGACTCCCAGCTTGGAGCTGGGAGCCTCAGCTTCCTTGTCTGTTTGGGGGATAATACTCTTAGCGTTTGTGGTTATTATGAGGATCAGATAAGATACAAAATGAGCCCAGCATGTTGCAAGCACTTCACAATTGTTGGCGTATTCCTCACTGCAATCTTCCCAAATCTGAAAAAGCCTCATATTCCACAAAACGGAGGCCTAGGAGGACTGACACAGACTGCAGTCGGCTCATCTGGAGAACAGCTGCTGCTAGTCACAGGAATTTCACACCCACACCTGAGGAGGAATAAAAAGGAGGTGGCGGCTGAGCAAAAAAGCCAATTAACATAAGCCACAGCAACCAAGGTTACCTTGGATCATATTTATGTCAGATGGATTGATAGGGGCCGCCAACATCTTCACATGGACGTCTGATCCTCCCACAGCAGCCAGCTCTAGGTTCTTCAGTCTAAGCACAAAGCCAAAGAGAGATGTTAACGTCACCCGGGGCGGACTGGGCGTCTTTTGCTCAAATCATTTCCCCAAAGTAGGTCAGCAGCATTTTTGAGCTGCCATGTGTGCCCAGGAATTTGGGTTCTGGTATAGAAGAGAGGTGCTACACAAAATTAGCACAGGGTACAGGTTAACTCTCTCACTAACTGCCAGTGGATGATCCCCAGTGGCGTCTCAACCCACTGCACACCTTGTGACACTAAACCTCTGCCGGCTTGGGTTACCTTTGTGTTTCCCAAAACTTGCTTGGTTAAAGAAAGAATTACCCAGTGGCTGGATGTGGTGGGTCACCCCTGTAATCCTAGCACTCTGGGAGGCCAAGGCGGGAGGATTGCTTGTGCTCAGGGGTTGAGACCAGCCGGAGCAAGAGTGAGGCCCCCATCTCTAAGAAAAAACTGGCCAAGAGTTGTGCTGGGTGCCATTAATGCCAGCTACTCAGGAGGCTATGACAAGAGGATTGCTTGAGGCCGAGAGTTTGAGGTTGCTCTGCGCTATGATGCTAGGGTGATCAAGTGAGACTCTGTCTCCAAAAAAAAAAAAAGAATCACCCAGTGTGCTCACTAATACAGATTCTGAACTTAGCTCTGTCCTACTGACCCAGTCTCCAGGTAAGGGCACCCCAGTAGTTCTGACAAACAAGTGTGTTTGAGAAGCCCCAGGCTAACCCACTGCCTGCCATCCGTTTGGTTTCTGTTGGCCTCAACACATATGGGGACAGGAAACATTTCATTAACTTCAGAGGGTGGGGGACATGGAGAAATGGCCCACACAGTTCAGAAAGAACTCCCTGAGTGGCTGTGACTCACGCCGAGTGATGTCCCTTGTGGATGAAGACCTTTGTCTGTCACAAAGAATGCCAGGTGGAGAGCTGTAGGTCCTGGATGGCTGGGACACTGCTGGCAAGTGTTTGCTCTAGGTGTGTTTCTCCATTTGTAAAATGGAGTCGATGGGAGCTGGTTTGGACTCGATCCCTTCCACAAGCTCCTCCTATGCGAAGTCTGTGGTGGCTCCCTTTATCCACAGAGGGGCCTTAGACATCATGGTACCAATGTCTTTATCCCAGTGAAACTTTGTTTAATGGGTAAAACCTGTCACAAGGCTTTTGAGGGAGGCCTAATAATGATAATGCCCACATGCTACTTTTGTTACTATGACTTTAATCACCAGAGGTTCCTTTTCTTTCTCCACACCTCTAAGACTTCATGTTTGCAATGCTTCTCTCTGCCCAAATATATTTATTAATAATTCTCATTTTTACTTACCAAAGACACATATAGCTGCCAACCAGAGGTTCTTAACATAAAGCAACAGTAAATACCACACTAAGCTGATGTAATTCCATCTACTTCCTGTCGGAACTCTACCTTGTAATTATATCTGAGGCTTGATCTAAGGCTAAAGGTGTGATTTTCCCTGGGTGTGGTGGCTCACACTTATAAACCTAGCACTCTGGGGAGGCACAGTAGAGTGGATTGCTTGAGCTCAGGGGTTTGAGACCAGCCTGAGCAAGAGCAAGACCCTGTGCCCAATAAAAATAGAAAAATTAAAATCAGCCGGGCCTTGTGGCTTGTGCCTATAGGATGAGGAAGGAGGATTGCTTCTGCACAGTAGTTTGAGGCTGCAGCAAGCTAAGATGACGCCACCGCACTCTACTCAGGGCAGAGTTAAGACTGCCTCAAAAAAGAAAAAAAAAAGTATTAACATTCCCATGCTATCAAGTAGGAAAGGTAGGAATATCAAACAGGAAACAGGGGCTCCTAGAGATTCTGAAATTTACACAGGGTAACTGGTAAGCGATAGGGCTTATTTAATTTCCTGGTTGGTGCCCTCATTTATATTGCTCTCCCACCCTTAGCATGGGGATTCATCCAGCTCACTGCGAGAAGCCCTGAGGATCTGGGGACCTCAGCTGGGAATCCCTGTACTGAATCGTGGTCAAAGGGAGGCTGCATCTTCCTGTGCAGACACATCAGCAAAAACCCAATAGATAAAACTCCACAGAAAATGGTTAACTTGGAAGGAGTTGAGGATAAAGGGGCAGAAAGAATGGAAAAAAGAGCTTTTAAAAATAAGATTGAGTACTAAGGAATGCATGTACTTGTACACAGCTAGAGGAGGGGGGTCCTTGTCATTGTGATAACCACTGATCATGGAGTGGTTACCAGTCAGGGACACTGCTGAGTGCTTGACATGCTACTTTCACACTACTACCATGGCTTGCTCACTACTGTTCTGCTTTTACAGCTGAGGAACAAAGGCACAGAAGAGGTAAATAACTTGCTCAAGGCCATTTGAAGTAGTAAGTGGCTGTACAGGTGTGGTGGCTCACCCCTGTAATCCTGGTAGTCTAGGAGGCCCAGGCAGGCAGATTGCTTGAGCTTGAGTTCAAGATCAGGCTTCGCACCTGTAGCTCAGTGGCTAGGGCGCCAGCCATATACACCAGAGCTGGCAGGTTCGAATCCAGCCAGGGCCTGCCAAACAACAATGACAACTACAACCAAAAAATAGCTGGGTGTTGTGGTGGGTGCCTGTAATCTCAGCAACTTGGGAGGCTGAGGCAAGAGAATTGCTTAAGCTCAAGAGTTTGAGGTTGCTGTGAGCTGTGATGCCACTGCACTCTACCGAGGGTGACAACTTGAGGCTGTCTCAAAAAAAAAAAAAAAAAAAAGAGTTCAAGAGCCTAGTTTGAGCAAGAGCCCGACCCTGTCTCTACTAAAAATAGAAAAAACAAACAAACAAACAACTATCAGGGTGTTATGGTGGTTGCCTGTAGTTCTAGCTACTCAGGAGACTTGAGCCCAAGAGTTTGAGGTTGCTATGAGCTATGAAGATGCCTTGGCACTCTACCCAGGGCGACAGAGTGAGACTCAGTCTCCAGAATAAATAAATAAATAAATAAATAAAAGTAGTACATGGATGATCTGATTTGAACCTGGTGGTTTGATGCTACAGAAGCCAGCTGGTAAGGGGCTAACCCCAGACCAAGCCAGGGGCAATGAATTCAGCACTGGCTTGGCCTGGCTATACCAGCCTTACTGGGAGAGGGAGGGTGCGCCAACAGGCACCACAGCCTCCCACCAGACTAGGCAGGGAGGCATCAGCCTGGACAGTGATGCTTCTCTGTCAAGTACAAGCCTGAATTCCAAAGAAAAATCCTGCCCAGAGCAAATGGATTTTAGACTAGCAGCTCCTTTATGTTATCTGCACTGCTTCTCTCCTGCATTTTGACAGATAATCAGAGTTTTTCTGTAAGCTGACAAAGTCCATGTGCTCAAGCTGCTTAAAGACATTTTTTTTCTTGCACATTTTCTATATGCTCTTCCTTCAGCCCAGAATTTCTTTTCCATAGCTTCTCCATGAAGTGAGAAATTCAATTCACCCTTCAAGACCCAGCTCAAATTTTACTTCGCCTAAGACATCTTTTGACCATTTTCCTGCCCCTGAAAAAAATTACTTGCTCAGTGCTCCCCTCATACTGTAGGACCATCTTACGTGAGTTCATTATTTTTTAATTTATGAAGTCTTTCACATTTTTTTCAGTTGACCAGGATAAGACATAGCGTCCCAATTCCTCTTGGGGCCAGATGTACTCCACAGTGCAGAACCATGTATAATCTACAACCGTAGCTGGAGCTGGGCAGCAACTTCTGATCAAACACATTAATGTTTCTGCAGCAAAATGTAGGAATATTCACACTAAATGAGGTGAACAAAGGCCATATAAAAACCTTATGTTAGATCAGACTATACCTCCAATAAGTTATGGAAAAACTTGTCAGTTTTCAGAGCTTTCTGGATTTGGGAACTGCAGATATGAATTTGGATTCAGGTCTTTCAGACTCTGAGCTCAGTGCTCTTTTTACTTACCACCCAGTCTCATAGGCAGAATGTACATGTGTGCATGCAAGCTATCCCATTAGACTGTGAGCTCATGGAGGGCAGAGAACTTTTAGTCTTGGAGTCTCACTCTATTGCCCTGGGTAGTGTGCTGTGGTGTCAAAGCTCACAGCAACCTCAAACCCTCAGGCTTAAGTGATTTCTCTTGCCTCAGCCTCATGAGTAGCTGGGAATCTTGTTCTTGCTCAGGCTGGTCTTAAACTCCTGAGCTCAAGAAATCTACCTGTTCTGGCCTCCCAGAGTGCTAGTGAGCCATTGCACCCAGCCTGAGAACTTTCTTAATTCACTGTTGAACAATGTCTACCATTGAATTTTTCTCTCTAGTAAGAAAATGTGGAATAAAAGTGCCAGTCATTTAGGGTATCAGGGTAGGGGCTTGAACTAAAGAGATTTAACTATTTGTACTTGCCCTTCCTGTTCTGGGCTGTTTAGGAAAATACCCCTGAGAGATGGGCTAAAATAAAATAGAAATTACCCTTAAGAGAGTTCAGTCTAGACATACAGATCAAATCTACAGTAAGATTACACATTTTAAAAATCTAGATGACCATGGTCAAGATAAGAATATAGGTAGATCTTGATTCATAGATGAAAGGCAGAATGTGGATTTGGAGTGAAAGAGGCAGCCCTGGGTTTCAATCCTACCTTGTTCATTTATCAGCTAGATACATAAGCCTCAGAATACCCCTCTGTAAAATGGAATGACACTAGAACCCAGATCACAGGATCAAATGAGTTAACGAACACAAAGTACATTTATGATAGTACCTGATAACAGTAGATGCTAAAGAAATGGCAGCTGTTATCAGTCATAGGAATATTTAAGGAAATCTCTGAAACAATTAGCTGGCTATACCTCTGAAAAGAATCACTGAGTCATAGAAAGGAAGATAGAAACTTTTTGGAAAATACAAGTACATTTAATTTGACAAATATTTATTGACAGTCCAAGTCCCAGCTACTAAGCAAAGGGGTTTAAAGATGCATAAAGCCAGTAACAGTGGTGAGTGCATTGGGAGGATAAGAAAGCTAAATCACTTGAGCCTAGAAGTTTGAGGC